AGTACTTTTACTTACCGTCAAAACAAGGTAACAAAGGTAAATGAAGAAATCAGAAACACACCTAGTAACAATTAGCTTGAGTTCCGGTCGTTTTTTCACTGCAGCTTTCAATAACCCAAATAAAACATCGGTATGAATAGTTCTTTCATGAGCTTCGTCCAACATTATTACCGAATATGATGTTAAATCCGGATCCAGCAAACATTCTCTGAGTAACATACCATCCGTCATGTATTTCACTACAGTGTCTTGGCTAAAAACATGCAAGATGCTGATCATCCCATAAAATAAATCATTTAATGAGTCAATAATTTTATTTCAAACTTCACAGAAAAGTACCGATTCAAAACACACATTCACATAACAATCTCCTTTACACACAATGCCAAAAAAAAAAAATCGAACAAACAAACCTTGTACAATCTTCGAATCGAATAGTATAACCAACTTCAGAGCCAAGTCTGCAACCCATTTCTTCGGCAACGCGCTTCGCAACGGACATCGCGGCCACACGCCTTCAATTAACAATGCAATCAACTGAATAAAAAGTATGCAAAAGAGAATTATTGAAACAATATTAATGATATCACTAAGAGAACTGTACTAATTTGACATGTCTCAGAATATTGACAAGAATGTAATCATATTTTGTAATCTGGTTGGAAAGATATCCGTTGAAAAGTAAATAAACGGCAATTGAAAGCATTTCGCTGCAACATCAGTAAGGACGCATTACTCAAGGTTTATAGGAACATGTTTCAATACATCGAATCAGTTTGCTCTGTTAATAAAGTTAGTCAGTCACAATCAGATAACTGAATCAGAAACATCATTAAAGTCCAATGATAGTAACAATTTGAATTTTGGAGCAATGATCTCTGTTTAATTTTTGCAATCTAGTATTAACTTCGTCATGTATCGTACTACTTACGTTACTGCTTTAACTTCCATAAAGGAATATGCAACAGAAACTATTTTTAAACGAATGGACTTGATTGGAATGTAAGAGTAAAATTCAAATAGTATTTTCGTTTACCTCGGTTGAGTACATCCAATCCGACCACGAGCAGCATATCCAACTTCAACCATGTACTGAGTGATTTGAGTTGTTTTTCCGGACCCAGTTTCACCAATGACAATCAAAATATTCTGGGCAGCAACTGCCTCCAGAAGCGCTTTCTTCAATGCAAAAATTGGAAGCGATTCGCGTTGCTCTTTAAGTGACATGTTTGTTCGTTTCCCGTAAGTTGCTTTCCCACCGGCAGTTACATGTCTTAGCCATTCTGGCATTTCCTGAATTACTTAGACACTTTCTTTTCTGGAATACCTCTATAGAGATTCAGGTATATATATGGCTGTAATACTCCCAACGGAATCGAGAAAGCATTTCAAATTATAATAAGTGATGCAGATGCATCGTAGCTCATAGTAGTGAGAAAAAAGCAATTGACGTGTCTGTTGTGACGATGAAAATGTTACTAAAATGGAAACATATCGGATGCCAAAAAACTTAAGCTAAAAGTTATACTTATTGTCTTGTTGAGTACCGCAAAAATAAAGCTACAATTATAGGTTCTAAAGCTACCTTTTGCCTTTGACTTGGCCCCGAAGTATCCACTGTAGTCTGCACGGATAATTCTGCCATAGGATCATTGATTCTAGCAGTGGAAGAAAGACCACTACGATGAGAATGAGATTCTTGCTCACGCTGTGCTTGCAGTTTTTGGTCTCGCCGTTCTTTTGCGAGTGCACTCTGGAATAAACTGCGGTACAAGCATTACCATAATGAATGTATTACAAGTGTACAGAAGGACTTTTACAAAATGAGAGAATGATGAATAAGAAGATATAATTAATTGACCTGCATTAGGGCTGCCTGTGCTAAACTTCCGTCTGGATTTTTCACAACTTTTACTGGTTCGAGATCTAACATACATTTCCCGTAACCGCGTAAGAATTCCGGCTCTTCCTCAACAATTTCTATTTCGATATCTTCACCATCACTTTCTTCTTAAAAATATTCAATAAGAATACCGGTAAAAATCAACTAACATTAAATTATCAATATAAGTCAGTGTATGTAACAATATATAATTAAATAAGTACATAATAATATATAACTAAACTATCAATATAAGTTGAGGAAAGAAATGATAAAAATCTAACATTAGTAGTATCTGTATTAATGAACATACCATCATAATTCCTCAGAACACCAAGTTCCTCATCAAAATCAGGTAAATCAGCATTAGTGATCGCTCCTCCGCCTTGCATTTGCCTCAATTCCCATCTCTCAGGAGTTGTTAAACGAACACGACTTTTCACCACACTAAAATTCATCCAAATATCAAATTATCTAACAAAGTGCTCTTCATGATGAAATAAAGCAAAAAGAAAAAAATATTCTACTAAGAATATCTGAGTCGTTTGCTGTAATCGAAACCTTTTCGACTGAGTGACAGATACATCATCTGGATTGCGAGAAGTAGACGGATCCATCCATGGTGCTTCGGGATTGCGAGGCGGACGAGCACCATCTGCAAGTGGTGTAGGCTCATGCGGGTTAAGATCTTGTCCTGTTTCCTGGTCAACTTCTTTCATCGACAAACCAATCTTTCCTAACTCGAATTTAATAACCTAGAAGCAACTTTACAGGAGAAATGACAAAACGCACAAAACGACCAATATACGTTAGTACGTTAGCACGTTAGATGTTAGATGTACGTTAGCACCGATAAGGCATAGCAAACAATTCCATTACTACATTTATTTGTACTTAGAATACTAGCAACGTATTGAAACGTTCCAGAAACAAAAAAATTCGATACAAAAAAAACGAAAAAGAATGTTCATTTACCTTAACTTTGACCTTCTGGTTCCGATTTAATACATCAGAGACGGCATTCACTCTGTCCTGCCTGATTTGAGATATGTGTAAAAGACCTTCGAAGCGCTGACGTAAGCCCTCCAACTAAGCGAAAATAGAGCTTTGGCCGAATAGATAAATTTAAAGGAAATGAACTAATAATTCGGTAAAAGTAAACGAAGACAAACAATCTAAGTATTGATAAACAACCTAACAACCTAAGGAATCAAGTAACGTCAGAATTTCTAAATGGTGCATTATTGCTAATTTACAATAAGTACAAGTTGCAAAAAAGGGAAACCTGTATAAAGGCTCCAAAGCTTTGAATGCTTATTACTCGGCCATTGTAAATATGACCAACAATAGGTGCGAGACTCATTCTCCTCCTTCCATTTTCGGAAGAATATGATCTACTCCTACGATGCCGTCTGAAAATAAACAGCAAATAACTACCTAATAAATCAAAAAAAACAATAAATACCTACGTATTTACTACCTCTTTTATCGCATTATTTATTTTAGTAGTTACAAAAATCCTTTTAATCTTAGTTTCATCCTCTCATAACCCCCCCCCCTCCTCGGAATTTCATAGCTAGGAATTTAGAAGTGTTACACCTGCCTTGATAACGGTTCCTTTTGTTTTTCACTCCGATTTCTGTTTCGTTTTCTCCTTTGACCTGTCTCAGTGGGACTTCGTCCTTGTCTTCGGCCATCATGCGAATGTCTATCTTTCCCATCGTCCGAAGAACGGCGATATTTTCTTTTTCCAGTGTTTATACTTTTTAACCGATGGTCGCTTCGTTTCTTTTCATTCGATTTATCCGTCATTTTCGTCTGAATTCTATTTTATTTAAAAACGGAAAAAAAACCTAAAACGGAAACTGGTAAGGACGAACCAGCGAACTGGACAACTCAAATTACATATCGAATTTAAGTTTGATAACAAGGGAAAAGTTGAAATCCAACATCACTTTCTCCTAAAAAACTATTTTTTCAACCACTACTTTAGTAAAGCCCATATGCTGGTAGATAACATGGTCGATAATCTTCAATCTCAGAAGCAAACTGAAGAAAAGGACGGACTTTTTCCTCCTTCCATTTTGGCTGTAAGCCTTCTAGTTCATTCATCAGTTTATTTGCATCGACATTTGGCATCGCAAGAGCTGGAAGTGTTTCGCGAAGCAATTCTTTATCATCCGAAAGCGTCTTCGCATTTGCTACATCTTTCTTTTTCAGTTGCATGTGCTGTATAATGCGAAGGAGATTTGCTAACAAAGAATCATCAAACTGAAAACAAAACACATACAAATAGTGTCCCTTCAAAAAGTTCCTAACGCAATAATATGCCAGGCTTTAATAACAATAATATACCATGCTTTTCCTCGCGGTATTTCTTTTCGTTTATGGCTGATTGTCATCAAATTTTAATCCTATAGATTTCAATGGAAATTCGTTCTTTGTCCAGTCCTTCAGAACAAGCACGGAAAAAGACTGGAAGATTATTCGAAACGATATTCGTGTAGTGCATACCTGATCAGCCAATCCTTCCTTCGTTATTGATTTCTTGAATTTATCGAAAGTTGGATTTTCAGTAGCCAAATATATGATAAATTCCGCGACATCCTTATCTGCCAGTCCAAAGTGATTGTCAAGTTCGACACACACTCTTGACACCAGTGACAGGCGTTCGAGCTCCTCCATTTCTGAAATTCAAACAACTTCAGTTTTTATGCCAGCGATAAACTATCACACCAAAATTAACTTATGTCTTCTCCCTTCAAACAGAATCGCAACATTTGCACCAACATTAATCCTACATTACACCAGCGCACTGATCAGGAGACAAATAGCTAAAATTCTTATGGTTCGCGACAAACAGCGAGCTCTTGCATGTCAATAGTAGCAGCTCATCATAATGATATCCCAGTTATGGAAATTTCCGTTCCATTAATAGAGTATTCAGTAAGTACCTCCCACTACAATGGAAGGACGTGCAGCTGCGTGATCAACTATGGGAAGTATTGGATGAATGCTATGTACTTTCCTTGACATATCATATCGAATATCTTGGTAACATTCAGGTTAACTACCAAATTGGACCATACCGGTCGGTATAATACTGTGAATCTTCCCTTCCTTTTGGCAACCATAAATACTATCACATCATGAAGTGAAAAATTCTTGCTATGAAATATGCCATTTCGTTCAAAAATGTCCGAAATGTGGGGTGAGTGGAAATGAGCATGGAAATTGAGAAGGTCAGAACAAGAGGTGAAATCAAAACGAATGTAGCAAGACGAGTCAGACAATTGATTGATCCGAGGTATTCAACCGTTTAGATGAGTCATGCATGTTTACGTAGGTCGTATACTTCTTGTGTGAGTCATGCGTGGTTCATACATGTCTGTGACGTAACAGTCGGTATTTATCGCGGAGTATAAATCAACGTAGGAAGAGTGTGTACACTGCGTTTTCTAAATCACTGGTCATTCTCATTCGAATGGAGGTGCTTCCGTACAAGAATTGGGAATATTCGATGATTGATAATGTACATAATTCCTGACTGATATTACCGCAGATACAAATGTGGCAGGAAATATCTGCTTGTGATAACTTTGTCCACCAGTTACTTTAATAATTAGTACGAAGTTAAAAAAGAAACTCCCAACATTTTGCTTTCGCATCTATTGCAGTGAGGGGTGGCAAGTAGAAATAAACGAATGTTACACGAGCGCAAGCGTGCATTACCTTCAGATGTACAGAGTCGCAGAACCGTATATATATATATATATATATATGTCTTCATAATATATCCATGTCAGTGAGGCCAAAATAATGTTCGAAGTTAGCATCTTTAACATGTGACTGCTGGGATGTGCTTATTTGATTTGTACCCCATCCAAATCTCATTTTTAGTAGGGAGGATATGTTTATATATAGAAATGAAGTTTTACATGACATTATGCTCTGTCTGCTCTCGCTTTAGCGATTGCTGTCGTAATTATAATTTTTATGATAAGCTTTCAGCATAATAAAGTAATAATTCAGAAGAGGATATGTCGATCAGCTGGGGAACACAGTACTCGAAGCTGAAAACGAATCTTCGTTTGGCAATTAATCGTTTGAAATTATTAGAGAAGAAGAAAACTGAGATGGCACTGAAATCACGCACCGAAATTGCTGATTTCATTGCAAGTTTGTTTTGAACTTAGAATGTTTTTCATAAACCAGTACTTTGGTGGGAATAATCAGTTGTTTTGGATGGTAGGTTGAAGAGATGAAACACATTGCCTCAAGTTTCTATATAGGTCTTCCAAATTATGTTTCAAGCATCCTTTTCATTGCATGACTTCCAGCATAACAGACATGGAATGCACTTTTTATTGGTGGGGTACTAGTTGTATATGTCTTTAGGAGTACCGAAGTTCGTACAATGATATGCTTTGGAGATGTGCTTCTACTTATTGAAATGTGAATTAGAACTTAACACGTCAAATTGTAGCAGATAGCGTCAGTTATTGCTTGTAGTCTTTCCAGCATGAACAATTTAGAATTATTAATCTATGTTGTTTATTTCAATAAAATGGACATGGTTGAAGTGGATCAGATATTTCATTAATATGTACTCTAGACCACAAGGAAGACCGTGCTCGTATCAGAGTAGAACATATCATAAGAGAGGATTTCCTTGTCGAAGCATACGAGTTGCTAGAAATGTATTGCGATCTTATTCTGGCACGATTTGGTCTCATACAGCAAATCAAGTATGCTTTGTTTCCTGACTTTTATTGTTTTTATCTCTTAACGCAGATTAATTGTAACGAAAAATGTTACAGGCAACTTGACGATGGAATTGCTGAAGCAGTAATCAATATTATATGGGCTGCTCCTCGTGTGGCAACAGATGTGAGTGAATTCAAGGTAACAATATTTTCTTGTGACAAGTTTTCCACAAGAGTTCTACGAAACTTTTTTTTAGTGAACGTGGTTTAATGTAGAAGCACAGCCTCTTAAAGATATCGTTCTGATTCAATAGTTTTAACTGTGGATTCTCTTAGTCAGTTGCTGGATTGGGTGTAATAATTTTCAGGTTATAGTATAAGTACTTTCCGTAGAGTCCGTACTGAGCTCCTTCCAGCATACAGGTGTGCCTTATATATGAATAGATAACATGGTCTAAAACCCTTTCGTATAAAACCTGACGTTATCATTATTAACCTTATTAAACTTTCATCAGAAATTTTTGTTGCCCTGGAACTAGATTAATTTGCTTGTTTCTGGTTTGAAATGTTTTCAAATCATAGGTGATTAATGACCAGCTGACTATGAAATATGGCAAAGCTTTTGCTGAAGCAGCACATAATAACCAGCTAGAATATCCTGCCAAAGTATCACCAAAGTTGATGGCCAAACTAAGCGTACAAGCGCCTCCAAAACTCTTGGTAGAGCGGTGTGTTTCCTTTTTTCTTTTTGTTAGGTAGCGAAAGAAGAAAAAAGAATATATAATCGGTTTAAAGTCATTTCGCAGTTTGAGATTAAATATGAGTTATTTTAATAGTCTAGCTTTTGCCTAACTTTTCCAGATATATGATTGAAATTGCAAAGTGTGCAGGAATACCATTCACTCCTGATCCAAATATTATGCGTGAAGACGAAGTTGCTGCTGCTGAACAGATGTTGATCGATTTTAAAAATCATGGAGGAGTAGTGTTTTTGTTATATTTCTAGTAGATGCTTTTATTAATTTCGGAATATGTACGTTTATTTATTCACAAAAATGTATTGTATTGGAGCAGTTTATTATAATACTTGTTTAATTAAAATTATTTCCAGCAAGGTTATGGTTGGATGTATCCCGATGGCAGTAGTTCAGATAATAAAAAGCCACCTTCCCCACCGACGAATGAAGGATCTGGTTAGCAGATGCTTTTGTATTGCTATCAATATTATATGGCTTACTTGAAAGCATTCGAAGATCATTTTTCCCGAGTACTGGTTGTGTATGTAAATGCCCACTTTTCAGGGTACTATCCCGGGCCACCACCACCTCCTCCTGCTGGATTTAAAGGTGCTTTCGGTGGAAGTGGTGAGGTAGGTATTCCAGCTTCTGCACCAGTGTCAGACCCAACTAATTATGGTGCTCATAATTATCCTTGTTTGAATCAAGTATGTTTCTTTTTAAATCATTGCATTTATAAGCATAGCCAGAAGATTTCTGCATATGTTTTGGTTTTTTCATTTCCTGTTTCACCTGTTTGTCGCTTAAATTTTAAACCGACCGTATGATTATTCTAATATGTGCCGATCTGTTTTCTTTTATTTTCTGATGCTCATTATTCAACGGTTTGAGCTACTACCACTGATTCATTTAGAATTTAGATATATTTCATGCATCTTTTTGATTATTTTACAACCAAATTACGGAAGAAACTAGTTTTGTAGGTCGATGATTCATCGAGGGACATCAAAATCAAACCGAATACATCACCGGGTGTTCCATCGGCGCCTCCCACAGATGCCAATTCGGTTCCTCCAAAAATGAATCTTGGTAGTTGGTTTCTTCATTTGTCTTGCCATTTTTATAAAAACAAGATGTTAAAGAAGAGTGTGGCAATTTTGGAGGAAAATTTTTGGATTTGCTACGAAGTAAATGCAATTCTCGTTGCAGTAGAACCAGAGTTCCCAGAACCACCGAACGATTTACCGGGATCATTCGACTCAGCATCGTTTCCATTAACGAAAAGTAATGATGAACAGCAGTTAGGTGTTGTTGGTAGCAATGATGAGCTTGATTTTGATGATTTAGCAAAACGCTTTGATATGCTAAAGAAGAAAAATATCAAATAAGTGTCACGTTTTTAAAATATATTCATTCGAAAGTTTCATTTGTTCCATATATTTACTTTATTTATGTTATAGTGTTATCCGAAAACAAAGCACTTTATTCACAAACTTCAACAAGAGTGTGGGTCACTATCACTACCCTTACTGACAGGGAGTGCAGAGAGAAGTGTTGTAAATAAGTGATTATTTTCACGTTTTTAATGGAATTTAGCTGATTTCAAAAACTGCTCACAGAGTTTCGAGTTACAACCATCATATTTGGCTGATAAAAGAACTTAGATGATCGTTGTTGCTCTAGAGACAGGGAAAGATATTCTACTGCTCGAGATTCATTTGTGTGTGAATTGTGTTTAGGCGAGACTTCGTCAGTAATTGATACTTCGAAGCTTGTGTAAGGAGTTGATTAAGAAAATTAGCAAAAAAAAGATTGACTTCCATACAGCCTCTGAAATTTTGTCGTAGTGGTGTCTGACATTAGTGGTATTTCGATGGAATAAGAAAAACTCATAAATTATTGGTACTTCTGTTTAGTTTCTCCACAGTTTGTAAGATAATTTCAACAATCGCATCAAGGTTGCAATTATGAAGCATTGTATCATGCGAAAATGGTATATTTACGACAGTTGTAGAGCAAAGATCCATCCAACCGTAATCTCGCTCATCTTCTGTAGTTTTTTGAGGTGATTTTAGAAGGGTTACGTGAAGTCGAGAAGGACTCCCTGAATTTTGACTTGGGATGTAAATACGCATCATCTTCAGCAACTCCCACGCATTTTCGATCATTGCTCCTAGCAATTCAGTATCAATTTTGATGTCGCCAGTTTGATATTTCACAATTTTGTTGATTTGCTGACGATGCTCCTCATAAGATGATAGTTCTGTTGCGGAGGTGCTTCTGCGCCAATGCGCTGTTCCATCAATGGATATTATGTCATCTATATGAATTTCTGAAATAACATTTTAAATGGAAGGGATATATGTTTCCAAAATTTTTATTAATAAGTTTTCTTTGAGATACATAAGATTCCTGGAATTATTTACAATCCTATACAAATTTGATTACTGGATAATAAGATTTCCGATATTTTACCCAGTTGGTATACCTTTTCGAAATATTTCAAAAAATTATGCTTTCCACCAAAAAAAAAAATGTATACCTCTTCAGTAAAAATTATACCTTCTAAAAATTATACCTTTAAAAATTATACCGATATGAATCGATGTTAGAGAACTGGCAAACCAAGAACTTACCTTCTCGTTGTAGTTGTACAGCACACTGATAAGCCAAAATTGCACCAAATGATGCACCGATGAATATGCGCATTTTTACATTGCATAAATGATCATGCAAATCTCGTACATATTTGGAACATAAACTTTCAATGGACTGATAAAATTTATGATCCGCTGAATATCTTCCAGAAAAACTATCTGGATGTTCAACGCCAATTATTCTGAAGGAGCCTGGTAGCTTTCTTATTAGTTGTCGTATCATTGGTGCATATGTCCATGTCACGCCACCAACGAGTGCGTGGAAAAAACAATTACCCCACTTCCTGTGATATTAATATTTGATTCGTTTTGATGAAACAATCGAACTGTTGTCCGATTCTCGGGTGTTTGTAAATTGTCTGCTCTTTCTACAATGCTACATTTCCTAGACACATTTCCAGCACTTTGTAATATTAGATCGCTGTTTTTTTCAGATTCAGAATTCATAAATCCGATTCTCTTACCCGGGAGAGAATGGTCTCTGTCGATGAGTCGCTTTTGCAGCAAACTTCTTAGCTGTGTAAAAGTGCTGTATTTGAATATTTCATCAATTTCAATGTGAATTTTAAATTCTGACTCAATAAAGCGTCTTAATTTCAAAGTAAGCAACGAAGTTCCACCTTCCAGAAAAAAATCATCATCATCTCTAATCCATCTTTTCTTCAAACATTTGCTCCATATTCCCCTTAATTCCAAATCAATAACATTTCCGCCCTGATCATTCGCAAAGAATAGAGAAGAAGGTTTCGCAATTGCTTCATGCGCATTTTCCCTAGGCTTTATTTTCTCGTCTTTCGTTATTTCCTGGATGTTAGCATTGACTGACATTTGTTGTAAAGCAAAAATCATTCGCTGACACAGTGCTGAGATATGTCCGCGATTTTCCATTCTGATTCTACAAGAGTAATAGCTTTTCACACGGTCTACTTCGACTTCAATTTCGTGAATACAATCCGTTGGCGCTTGAACTTCACCTTTACCTATTACTGATTCAAGATTTTCTTCCAATCCGTAACGAAAATTAAAAAATACAGTTTTGTGAAGACGATACAGGACTTCAGTACCTGGTGATTTCAGCTTTTTCAGTTTAATTCGAATTAATTTCAAAAGTGCAATAAATGGTACTTGCTCGAATTGACGGATCTCGTTAACTGTTCTATTTATATTTTCTACATATTTCTTCATAAATCTTGCATATATATTAGTAGGAGGAGTTCTTGCCATTTGCTCCTTGGAAATGGCGAATTTTGTTTTATTTCTAGAGTTATCCATAATATCACTCGAGGCACTACTGATGATATCAACTTCCTTTAAAGGGATGTGTGTGCTGTTTATCAGTAAATAGTTAAGAAAGTTACCTATAATATTGTTTGTTTTGAAGGAGCGATTAGCAACTGGTACATTTATAATTAACTGACTTGTGCCAGATAGTTCATGTAAAGATGAAGCAAATGCACTAAGAAAGGCTACAAAGGGAGTGATTTCAAGGGATCCACAAATCTTTTCAATCTTCCTTACTTCGAAAGTAAATCCTGTTTCTAAATAGTTTCTAAAATCTGTAGATTTCGAATATTCAACAGCTTTTCTAAAAATTCCAGGTTCTAAATACTGATTAATCTGATCAAACTGATTCATCCGATCTTCAATTCTTCCCCAGTTTTCCAAAATGTTGTTGAAATTTGGGTCATTTATGATCCACTTTACAATTTTATCAGCATATTTAGCTGCTAACGTTTCTAAAAAGTGCTTTTGTTCAAACTGTTCGATGGAATATTCAGCATATGTAAAAAGCAATCTTGAATTGCTATCGAACTGCTTGTTTTTCAGAACTTCCTGATACAGATCTCTTAGGTCATTCTCCAGAAGATTCGTTGACCAAGCATCACTAATGATATGATTCATTCGTAAAATGACAGTATGAGATGCACTGCTGGTTGTTTCAAGTGCACATAAAATCGGTGGTTCGTGTTTGAGATTTATTTTCTCGTCGCGAAGTATTTTTATCGTTTCCACAACATGATCTTCATTGTAGAATGCTGGTTGTGTCAAGTAATAGCTATGCTGTAAAATATTGCTGTAGAAGTAAGTTTCTGTCCCAGAAAGTAGTTCCTGGTGTACATCATAGTTGAGTTCCGGAAAAATTGTTCGCAACGAAGGTTGTTGTAAAATTAGGCGCAGAAAAGCCAATTTCAAATATCGCAGGCTGAAGGATGCATCAAATTTCTGCACAAATATGAGTTCATAATATTGCCGTTGTTTCGTTTCATTTAAGAATTGAAATTGTTGTTGCTGAAAGCTTAGAGGAATGTTATCAAGACTAAAAACTTTCTTGTTTATCTGATGAAAGCCTTGAATCCCATGAATTCTTTCATTACTTGGCTTTTTGTGAGAATTTAAAATGTACTGTGACAGTCTCCTCACCGTCCGATGACGAAAAACATTATTTATACCGATAGAATGTACAAGATTAGCTTCTATCAATGTGGTGAGTTGCGCTGCCGAAAATGAATTTCCACCAACCGCGAAAAAGTCATCATTAATCGAAATGTTATCATCCTGGAGAACTTTCCGGAAGAATCCAAGCACCTTCCATTCTATGGTACTTTCTGGTTCTATATGCTTGAAATATTGATCATTTTCAGGATTTTGCAGCATTTCCAGAGCCAAGACATCAATTTTTGAATTTTTGGTAAGTGGATATTGCTGTAGGGAGTGGTACTGAGTTGGTACCATATAATACGGCAATTGCTCTAACATGAACTGTCGTACAATACCGGGGTCGAACTTGGTCTTCAACAAATCTGACAAAATAACAAAAGCCACAAGCTGCTGCTGTTTCCCTATTAATTTTGGGATTACTTTCGCAGATTTGATTTGTGGATACTGACAAAGAATGGCTTCGATTTCACTCAGTTCAACACGGTATCCACGAATCTTTACTTGATTATCGTATCGCCCTAGGAAAAGAATGTCGTTATTTGGTTGCAATCGGACCATATCTTTAGTATCAAAACTAATTCTTGATGATATCTGACGACAAGCATTTATTTCGCTGATTCCTTTGTTTTCATTTTCTTTCTCGGCATCTCGTTTTACATCAGCTGAAACAATATAACCTCGCGTGATCCCTATCCCCGTGATGCATAATTCGCCTACTCCCATTTCTGGTAGAACCTCTCCACAGAAATTTCTAATTGTAGTAACAACATTCATTATTCCACGACCGATATTATTGGGTCTGTCTAACAGTTTCATTCTCTTGGTCAAAGCATAAGCTGTCGTTTCCGTTGGTCCGTAATTCTGAATTACATTAACACCTGATTTTAATGCGCATTCCAAAACCCTTCTGCTTGCACTTTCTGCCCCAACAATCCAATATCTCAGGTGTTTCAGTTCCCCAATCTCTTCATCCGTGAAGGTACTCACCAGTCCAGGAAAAAGTAATGCATGAGTAATTTTCCCATGCTTCACTTCATCCAGAAACTTACTTGGCGTGAAAAAATCTTCTCGGAGAAACAAAGTACTACCATTGATCAATGCCATCATAATTTCTAGAACGCTATTATCGAATGCAAAGTTTGTAAATTGATAAACACAGTCCCCAGGTCCCATCCAGAAATCTCCAGTACATGCTATGGCCATGTTGAGAAGACCCTGTTGGCCAACTGCTACTCCTTTAGGCTTTCCAGTAGTTCCCGATGTAAATATCACGTAAGCTAAGTCGTTCGGCGTATTTCTCAGATATATTTGAGACTCTAGTGGTTCTTCGTCAAATCCCAAATCATTTAAGTTGATTTCCAGTGCATTTTGAAATGAAAAATTAAGTGAAGCTTGAAATTCGTCATCATTATTTGTTATCTTATCAATAGCAACATAAAATTTTGCTTCCATTTGTTCTAAAATATTCAAGACTCGCTTGGTCGGACTTGTAGAATCTATGGGGAGATAAGCAGCTCCGGCCATGATAATTGCCAAGCATGTTACCAATGTTTTGATACTATTATGAGCAATAATTGGTATCACTGTATCAGCTCGTAATGTATTACCCGTTATTCGAATTATCTTTTCTCGTATAATTTTCGAAGTTCGGTAAATTAATCTAATTAGAGTACGATAATTGATGCTTTCCTTACTTCCAATAACAGCTGTTATGGTTGTCAATCGACCGTTGGTTACAAGGGCTTCTCGAATTAAATTCTGATAGCTAAATGCTGGATAATCACATTTTCGGAGAACTTTTTTGTCGTCATTTCTTCTCATAAAACATTCTTCACGTTCACTTGATACTACTTTCTCTTTTGATTTCATATCCATACTATTTTCAGCACTGAAATACTCTCCATCAGAAGGAATGCCATACGGACATTTTCGCCTATCTTCATATTTCATTTCATTCTCCGTTACAATGATCTTTTCCATTTTGCGAATTATTCTTGCCCATTGATTAAGCATTATACTCATTGATTCGTTGTAGAAGAGATCTTGTTTACATTCAATTTTCGCGACAATATCTTTATGATATTGTGTGAGAAACAATGTCAAAACGCACTTCGTAAATTCAGAATTATCGTTTAAAATTTCATGATAATGGTCGGAGTATTCCTCATAGTTGTTGACAACCATAATATCAGCAAAGTTAGAAACTCCATGTTCTCCACATAATTTTTTCATTTCTTTGGTAGAAATATCAGCGTTTACGTAAGCATCCGCTAAACTCCTCGCGATGTCTTGAATTAGATCCTGATATTTTCCAAGTCTTAAATCGATTATCACTGGCAAAACATTGATGCACATTCCAACACATTGTTGAGCTCCAGAATCACGCATATCTACCGGACATGAAATAGCTATCTTGGATGCTTGTGTTACTATTCCCGAGAGTACCTTGCTGAATGCAGCAACCTGTACAACAAACGGAGAGCAACAGCATTTCTCAGCTACTCTTATGATCAAACTGTTCAAACTTTTGAATCTTTTATGAAGAAATTTACATCTATTACTGCACGAAACGGTAGCAATTATTTTCTCATAATGAAGATTTGCGCTTTCTACATCTTTCAAAGTTTGCGACCAGAATCCTTGCATTTCAGTGCAACGTTCCCTGAATCGTTGTTCAGTTCGCTTGCTGAATTGAATGAAATCGTCGTTTTTCATTGAGATTTGTATATCTTTGAAATAATTGTCATATAACTCTCTGGCTATTATAGACAGCGACTTTCCATCGCATATGACGTGGCTTATTTCAAAATGAAGTTCAAAGTGACTATCATCAGAGAGTTCTTGTTTGATATTATGAATCAACCAACAGAGAATCGGTACCGCATGAAAAGGATTTGGTACTATCATTGCTGCTTGCTCACTAGTCGTCCGCGGTGTAATGTAAATTTCAGTACCAGAATGAATTTCTTGAAAAAAATCGTTGTTCTGACAGTAAAATGTTGCACGAAATGCGGAATGACCCATTATTATTAGATTGAGGGAACGTCTTAGTTTTGATAAGTTTATTGATTTCAAGGATATTGAAAACCCCGTTTGATAAGCCTTGATAAGATCAGTTGTCAAAGGTGCAGTAGTACTACGAGTAGTAGTAGTAGTAGTAATGAACGAAGTGGAAACTGCTGTTTCTGTGACTGCATTATAATACATCCCGACCAAAGATTCCTGAAGTGGACATACACGAATTTTGAACCTTTCTTTTGATGCCATCAAGGCCTTTGAATTTTGCTTATTGTCTATATATTTCGCAAGTTCTTCAATTGTTTGATACTTGAAAATTGCTTGTGGTGGGCACTGGTAGTTGATTTGTTGCTCTATTTTATAGCAGATACTTGGAATCAGCAGGGAATGGCCACCTCTTGCAAAGAAATTGTCAAAAGTAGAAATTTCTGGACTTCCTAATACTTCCTTCCAGATGCTAAGCAAAGCTTCTTCCAACATCCAATTCTTTTTGATTGTATCTTGAACTTCGCTCATGTCTTTTGAATTATCATCCTTGATCATCTCAACCATTAGTTTATTAACGTTAATTAATTTGGAAGATTCCAGAATGTCTTTCACTTCCGCAGATCGGCTGGACAATATTTGAGAAGCTATTTGAACGAATAGTTCCATGGCATGTTTTATCTTTAAATTACTATACTTCTCAGTTCTGTACTCCACCGACATCTCAATACAGTCCTCAAATTCAGTGCAGTACCATGCTTGGTCGAATTTCGCATATTTTGTGCCAATTTCTTCGATAATCGTCTCAACTCCCTCAATTTTTGGTATTTTTATTGCAGAGGCACTTTGGACAACAAACGAAATCTGATATGCTTCTGTACCTGCACTGTCTCGTCTTGGGTTCAGCTTCCGGATAATGTAATCGAAAGGAATATGCTGAAATTGGAGAGCTTGTGCGATATTTTGTTGAAGATTACGAATTAGTTCGGAGACACTTTGAAAACTGGTATCAATCGGAATGATTACCGTATTGACAAATAATCCGACACAGTTCATAGTACTGATTTCACGATTTAATGCAGAAGTGACTACAGCAAAGCGATCTCTTAGTTGTTGTTGATCGGCTAGTGAAGAACGTACAGTTAAGGAAAATACAGCAAGCAAGTAAGCAAATAGCGTGCATCGTTCTGCCATGCAAAAATGCTTAACTGTAGACAAATCCAAAGGCATTTTGAGTTTAATTAAATTATTTCCTCTGTCAAATCCTTCGTTAGACAGATCAAACTGAAGCGACAACGGTAGGAAATTCTGCAGTTTCAGGCTCATTTCTTTCAGATACCTACATTCTTCCTGCACTTGAAGCTCATCTTTTACCATTGCTTTGTTAATCGACAAGTGATAATCAGCGCTTCTTAATGCAATCCGAAATTTCTCCAACTCGCTTCGCTGTTTCAGAGAGAATTCAGCATAACTACTATCCTCGGTGATATCAAAGGATACATTGCCTCTATTGATAAGTACATTGTAAAATTCCACAAGATCGTTGCTGAGTATAGCGATCGAACGGCCATCAACAATCAAATGGTCGAGAATCAGCATTAGCTCTAGATTGCCGGAAACAGCTATAGCTAACAAAAGCGTATCATATAAATCTGGCAATTCTGACTCTATTCTCGATCCTATTCCGTCATACCCAAGCGTGTTTCTGTGAACTTCAATGTAGCATTCACTCAAAGATACTACTTCCTGGATTGTTTTTCCAGCCTTGTGAAGAAAAATTGTGCGCAGAAGTCGATGCTTCCGCATAACGTAATTTAAAGCAGCATTCAAAATTTTGAGATTCATATAACCATGGAATGTAAATAGAAACTGAAGTTTGTAACTTTCACGAAATTCTTTTCCAAAGCTGTAAAGAAATAAAAGTCTTTCCTGCTGTAAACTTACTGGAACACTTCCATTAAACCAGAATCTGCTTTTCTGTTTACTTTCATTACAGATCTTCTCAGATTTTCGGGACATCTTACTGCATATATTATTATGAATCTGCAATGAATTAAATTTAAATCTCGCTGATTCCAGCTTTGTTAGATTTCCAACTTCTTCATGATTACCTGTTGAACAGTTCTCTTTCAAAGATTCCAAAATAGCTCTGAAAGATGTTAATTGAAAAATATCCCGAAGCGGAAGATCTATTCCAGTCTCACGTTTGATATTTTGGATTGCAATTAAAGCTTTCAACGAATCGCCACCCACTTCAAAAAATGAATCATCGAGTCGAATATCTTTTCCTGGCAGCAGTGTAGTAAATATTCCCATCACTTGTTTTTCCTGCGGTCCAAAAATATAGTCAGCTTTCAAAGGAATTTTTGATTTCAGAGGTTTTTCTGGTATGGGTAACAGTGTCCGTTCGATTTTACCCTTGATATTTAATGGGAATTGCTGAACAAACACATAGTGACTCGGAATCATGAAGGTTTGTAATTTTATCATCATGTATTCGTTCAAACTTTTTATCATTATCTGTCTTTCCTCCATTTCCGGGATGATATCTTCACAAGAAATAATATAAGCTATCAGGAATTCTTCCGTTTCTATTCTTTGCAGACAAACAATACATTCTTTGACCAAAAGATGTTGTCCCAGTATAGCTTCAATTTTGGGGATATCAACTTGAATACCTCGAATTTTTACTTGAAAATCGCTGCGGCCATGAAAAATTAACTTACCAACAGCGTTTTTTATTTCGGCTCGATCACCAGAGTAGAAATAACGCCTATCGCAATTTGACAGTAATTCAAGTTGTGTCAAATCACGATTGCTGCGAAATGATATTTGATTAAGGTATTCATTATTATGATAACCGCGACTAATACCTGCTCCCGAGATGCAGCAAATCCCAATAATACGTTGTCCACATAAATTTTTGTCACCATCATATATGGAAAAGTGAATATTTTTGAAGGGTTTACCAACAGATGGAGTTTTATCACAAACTTTCATTAACTTACAGGTGGAATAAATGGAATGTTCAGTCATACCATATTGATTATGGAAGCGAAGTCCAATTTGCAGAGCATCTTGTAAGGCTTTATATTGAATATAATCACCACCAAAATTAATTTGTTCCAGACTTGTCAATTTTTTGAATTGTTCTGACTGAATAGCAGACAAATACGCCGGCATAATATAAACATGAGTAATCTTTGACATTTCCTCTAAATCTGGTATTCGTTGACTTGCGAGGTATAAACTCGCTCCATTTGTTTGAGCTTCCAGAATATCTGCAAAAAAGATATCAAATGATGGATTTACTACTTGATAAATGGTGCTATTTGATTTAATACTCAGTAACTCCGTATAGTTCAGTGCCAAGTTGTTGAGTCCGTAAAACTCGGTGCAGACTCCTTTTGGTGTACCGGTGCTCCCTGACGTGAAAGTCATATAAGCCAGATTACGCTGAGTTGACTTTTTCCTGAGCTCTTGATCAGAATATCCGGAAATTAAAGTGATCACTTCGTTGATATCATGCTTAAACACAGGACTTTGCTGTTCTGGATTTCGAAACAATGTTCCACAGGAATTTTTGGAAATATCCTCAAAAAAGCATTGATTTACGACCTGATGCTGTTTTCGGTTGCGTTCATGAATGACAGCTGGACAAATTAATTTCACAAGGATTTCTTTCAACTGGTCTGAAGAAATTTCCAGGTTCAAGGGAGCTACTCCAATTCCACATTTCCATAGAGCAAAAATTGTTAGCAGAAGAAAAACAGATCGATCAAAAATAAGTAGCATAAAACTATCGTTTTGTATTTCTTCGCCCAGAAATTGCAGCCAACTTTGCGTAAGAAATCTTGATAACTGATTACTTTTCCGTTGCAAAAATGCACTCGAAAATGGTACTCCTCTTTGGATGACGGTATTACAATAAGGATTCATCCTGTTTTGTTGATCGATAAGATCCAAAACGGTACCTTTCTGCGGAAAATCACATCGATTTTGAAATCTTAGCTTATAATCCACAAATTCTTCCATAGAACTTATCATTTTTATGCCTTCAACAAGAATATGCAAATTTTGCGACATTTTATGAAGAAGTCTGAGGTATTGATGTACCATTGTTTCTATGGTACTTTGATAGAAACGGCTGCCGTTATATTCAATTTTTACTCTCATACCTTCTTTATAAAAGTAAAAATACCAGACCTGATCGTACTGTGCAAAATTTGAATCATTACCATCGTTGATGTCATTGTTTTGGATAGCGCTATGAATGTCGCTGCTATCGTCCAAAATAAATAAAACTTGGAAAAGTGGTGAATTTGACAGATCACGTTCTAAACACAATGTTGCTATCAAATCATCGAATTGTAATTGCTTTTGGATGCATTCATTTAAACGCTTGTTAGATTTTGTAATAAAATCATGAATTCGATCACTGGGATTAATGGTGTTGATTAGTGGTACCACATTTAATAAACAACCAATGATGGTGCAAAGTTCAGGAATTTCCCTTTGCGCAACTGCTATCCCGACACAACAGTCTTTGAATCCATGTCTTTTGTATTGCAAAAGTTGAAAGTTGGCGAGAAGGACGGAAAATTGTGTTACACAGCAACAAGTAGCTAGATTTTTCAAACATTTCTGGATTTTAGAATCTATTTTAAATTGTAAGCAACGACCTGAATATCTCCCTACTTGAAGTCCAATTTCATCTACTGGCAACGCTTGCAATGCAACGTTAAAAAGCTGATGTTGCCAGAAATCTTCACGTAACTTTTGACTTTCAGAATCTTGTCTCTGTTGATGTTCTAGAAGAACAAAATGTCCATATTGATACGGTACTAATTTGAGCGGATTTTTTCCGTAGTAAAGCATACGCAGTTCGTCTGTTAATAATTTTATAGAAAAACCATCAATCATAATATGGTGCATCTGGATAACAATTAGATTTAAACTTCTGATGTCCACAACATGCGTGCAAGCAGTTTGTGCTTTTCTTGGAGCCCAGTGATTGCCTCGATCAGAAATACCTTCCTTCAATTTTCTGCTAGCTCTAGTATCTTCCTGTTCAGCGATGAATAGCCTCATCGGAACAGTAGGGTCAAATAAATCGGTTGATTTCAATGACTCGAATACATTCCTAGATTCCACACGAATCCAGAAATAAGCTTCAGTGAGAGACAAAATTGTTTGACCTGTTACCGTATAAATCGATCGCAATGCTGTATGTCTCGCCACTACCCTATTGAATGCCTTTTGAAGTCGATGAATTTTTAAACTTTCAATGCTAAATTTCACAGTTTCAATGAAGTTTGATTTCTGTTCGGGATCCAGCTGATAAAAGAAAATCAATCGCTTTTGGGCTGCACTCAGCGGTATTTCAGTACTGCTTCTGATAATCTTTGTCAACTTTTCCGTAAGAAATTGAAAATTTGTGGCCTTCATGTTTTTAGGAATACTATTTCCTTCGATAGAGCTTTTCAGAATGTATTCACTTAGGTCATCAATAGTAGGATGTTGATGAGCGCTTCCGTAAGCTATCGAAAATTTTCCCTTAAATTGGGTTTGCAAAACAAACTCCAATTTTGCTAATTTTAGAGAATCAAATCCGAGTGATATAAATGATACTCGGTCGTCGTCGCACGGTACTTCGACTATCATTTCTACCGCCTTACGAATTTTATTAAGTATCGACAGTTTGTTTCCTGCACTTGTAACAGATTCTGAAATATGGATCCTTGTGTGATCATGGAAATAGGAAGGACTCGAGATATCAATTTCTGTCGAACTTTGAATTCCTTGTTTGATTCTTTCTTTCCCATGGGAATGAAATTCATTAAGATTGTTATCGTTCCTTTCTGAGTTTTCTTGGGTCTTTTTATAAGCTTCGGATCCCGCTGGTTCTTCAGGAAATTTTTTAATGCATTCCAAAATACTTCTATTGAAGCTAATTCCCCTTACATAACCACATTCAAATCCATCAAAATCATAAATTTTCATACTTATTTTGATAAATTTAAATTCTGTAATTGCAATCCATAATTGTCGGAAAATAGCTACCGGCAGCGCAATTTGTTCGACTTCTTCCACGGGTATTTGTAAAGTGGTCCCGAAGTGCAATTGCAAAGAGTACTCCAGAAAGGTCAACATCTCGCTATCCGAAACAATATATTCGTTATCGTTACTGAGGTTAAAACAAAATACTGTCACGAATTCTCCATGCTTCACTATTCTGTTATCTTTTTTCTTCCATACCGAAACATCATGCAAAATCTCTGAAGGCAATATATCCAAATTATCAATTCTGAACATGTCAACTAAAATTTCATCTAAATTCTGGCATGATTTTGTTTGCCAATAACGTATTTCCCCAATATATCCTTGAACTGAATTATTTCCAGAAGAAACTTCGAGAAGTTCCAAATTATTTAGTCCGTCAACTGATTCCGGCAATGGTTTTCGACTCAGTTCGTGATCCATTCGTTGATAGCCAATTTTAATAGAATCAAGCATAAGCAGCAAAGAACTATCCCCAAATCTTTTTCGACTTTCGATGATTAATGGTAGCAAAACTTGCTTCAAACCCATTTCCAAATTCTGTAAAATAATTCTCGTCTAAAGAAAAAAGCTGAATTCACGCTCGTGATCGAGTTTGTAAAATCAAAGTGGAAGTAAAGAGTAATCAAAAAGTCGGAAAAACTCCGAAAATCATAATGCAAATTTTCTGTCGGATTACGGAAATTAAAGCTACGTTCAAACAAAATTTCCACAATATCCGACAAACGGGGTGACGAAATCTTGTAAGTAAAATTAAAGCAATGACAAGGATATAAGCTAACAATGGACAGCGTAAAACAAAAACGTCTCAGTACCTACACAATGGACAGTGCTAAAGACTAGCCATACCTCCATGATAGCCCCGATGGAGCTTACAAAACTCCTCCCTAATCTTTATATATATATATGAAAAAATCCTGGGACAGATAGTTTTTTTTTACAACCGAGCAGACGATAGATCCTCTTCGCTTGTTCTCCACGACAGAACCCAAAAACGATGACATCTTCGCATATCCGCACTACTGGACAATAAACTACGATATTCTTCTACTCGCCAAATACATTTCCCGTAACGTATTCTCAACTCAACGACCTATCAACTAAACCGACAGTCAAATTATTGTCCAAGGCAACGACAAGGAGTTTGTTAGTTGATCATATTACTTGCTTTTTGTATAATTCATTTATCATTGCTTATCAATTCATCGTGTTATATACACACATATTTTATACCTTTCTTCTTGTTGTTAACTAGTAATATTGTGCAAGAACAGTATTACCTTCCGAATAAATCTGTATCACCGAGAAACGAGTTCAACAGGAAGACAATTTCCCAACAAAAAATATTTTTTCTCATTTTCATTAGGGTGTGCATATTCTATGACTGATAGATTCATCATCGCATTCCATCTGACAACAATTATCAAATTCTGTTTTAAAAAACATTTTTAACTCTTATTTATTTAACATACTAATGACCTCTGACCATAGCTTAGCTTATTCATTGGCTTATTCATGCTGACCATAGCTTACTCATTTTTCTTCATCCCTGACAATTTAATAACCTCAAATTTTCAACAGGTGCAGCTGACTTCTATCATTCTGCCTAAGAATTTATAACCAATACAAGTTTCTCTTTTTCCAGTTGTGTGATTCCACGGTGATAGCAACTAATTCCTTGAATCATGATATTGGAATTTATTTCCGGTAAAGATCATTATTTAAACTAAAATTTTGAACATTAAGACATTAGAACTTCCTAAATGTTTTGTGATAAGATCCCGGTTCTAATAAGATAAGATAGCACTGAAATAAGTTATAGGAAATGATAATCCAACAGCGCATTCCGAGAAGAGTGAAGTAGGATACTATAGACTGACATTTTAAACATGAAGATTAACATAATCACATCCAGCAATGAGAGCTAATTTTGCAAGGATCATCTTAGTTGCTCTTTTTTCCCTTTAGATTTCTTCAATAGCTCTCAAAAGGAAACGTTAATTGCTTGAAGTATACGAATCGCATGAATAATTTTCATTTCTTTACCACAAAGTAAACAAAATTCTAATAAAAAAGCTGTTATTTTTCATTACTTCATAGTTCTTTTAATGCTAATTGAATTGTGTGAAATTCTCGAGCAGTCATTTTAAAAATTTCACAATTTGGTTATCAAAAAATTTAATGTATATGACAAATCTGCTTAAGAGTGAGATGGAAATAGAACATTTAAACAGTTTTCTATCTCTCAGTGAGATGGAAAACTGTTTAAATGTTCTATTCGAATGAAAACGAACTGATTAAATTATCAGATAGAACATGATGTCATAACATTGGAGAACATTTTCTCTGGGATTTTTTTTCATTGCAGGTAAAGGTTCGGATATTTTACTTATTCGACGTCTTTTTCGGCACTACAAAGAAGTGGGAGTAGTTTATTTAAATGTTGTGAACTTTTTTGTCATTATGCACTCTTTTATTGCTTCTCTCAAAATAGCACATGTAGAAAAGAAGGATAAACCAAATAATTCCATAAAGGCAATTTAATACCCAATAGATTGGAAACCTGTTATTTGCTTGTTCACTTATTGTTAGCTTAAACTCATAAAAGTGGACTTGAAATGCCCATTTCGTTAATTAGGAAAACCATCATAGTTTTTACGATTTCGCTTTTTAGAATGCCATTCCAGAAACTAAGCAGTTTGCACAAATTTAAGCTTTAATGTAAAGGTAAAAACCACTTTGTGAATAGCCAATTTATTGTGTTTCTTTATTAGATGTTAGTATCACACGTGGATAATCCTGAATGGTTACTAGAAATCTGAATCCAAAAATTCAAGCCATAAATCACAAGTAAAAAGACCGTACTTCATTCTCACAAGCTTTTACGGAGTTTCAAATAGTAGTTATTATCGCACAAAAACGAAGAACTGTTTGTTTTTCAAGTTTTCAGCAGAATGTTAACGAAATTTGAATTTGAAAATGCTTCACCAAGATAAGCTCAGAAATGACGAAAGTTTTTATTTCTGTTAATGTTCTGTCTTATTAAAAGACCGAATAGTTTGGTCTAATTCAATGAGGAAATGTATGACAGTTTGAATCATTAATTCCCCGTTCAATGCAACTTCTTCAAATGTTGTAACCGTGTAATTCATAGCGAGGATAGCATGTGACTGATTCAAATTCGATGGTAACATTATGTCACCCACTTTGTACATTATCGATTCTGCTCCTGAATTGTCAAAACTTCCAATAATCAACGAACAATTCAGCGTTGATAAATTACTCTGAAAAGTTTATACACTTATGATTCACAAATAATTTTCACTACAAAAAAAAAAACTTTTCCCTTCAATACTTGCGGTGTGCTTTATAACAATTAATATATTAAATATTTTAATGCTATTATACAAATAAATCAGAACAGCTCTCGATCTGAGAAATTTCTGATCACATGAACTCCCGCCGGGAAAAATTTGATGCAGGAATCCAGCTGTTATTTGATTATTGCTTTGTACATGCGCGATTTTATTTTGAAAAATTTCTGTTCTCAATTCAATTAAAGATAATAGTTTGGAAAATGTAATGATACTTACAATTAAATGTTCAAATAACTGCTGGACAATTCGACCTCATTGAAATTTGTGGAGAATTGGTGCAAAAGTGACGCAAAATTATTTATACACCACATCTGTACCTTTATCTGTAGACTACCTACTTTTATGTAGATATTTTTATTATTTTTGAACAAATGCCAAGAGTCCTTCCTTACTTGTTTAAAACAAAGTCTGAAATACAAGGAAATGTTAAAGTAGCCCGTTGTTTCCAACAAATAGTGCCATCAGAATATAAACGAAGCGATTCTGCGCTACAAGTTGCAGCAGATTCAGAGAAGCTAGTGTCAGGCTTCCAAATTTTTATATCCTTCGGAATCTGAAACAAGAAAGCAACTTCTAAAACGATAAGAATTCCAAAAGTTCCGGAAAAAAAAGGAATGATAGGAATTCCAAAAGTTTCATGCGAGATAGAAAGACTAAAAATTCCCAGCTCGACTGCTATATTTTGATAGAGGCATAAGCAAATTTTATAATGCGGAATTTTCCGCTTTTTGAGTTCGACTAAAACTTGAAAAATGATAAATACTTACGGTAATGGATTTAATCCCACTGTATTTAAGACGTAAATCTCGCCATTTTTGGTAAATTTCACATGATAAGGAGAGTGCATCAGAATGAACAAGTACATGACGTATCGCAAAACTTATTGTTACCTGAAACAGACAAATGACTGAATGATATCACTTGAAACATTTTCAACTTTATCAGTTAAATGGAATGCATATAATTCAAAATATATTAAAATGCTTACTGGAACCAATTTGACGTATTCTTCAGTTTCTAGAGAGTAATGAAGTACTTAGTCTACAGTGTTAATTAGTTTTGGAAGTTCCACTAAATTTACGAATTTATTTCTCGAAATTTATTTTATGACTTTTTTCTGGAATATTTGAAATAGGTGATTTTTCGACTTGAATAACTGATGCTTGTCATTAATCTTAACCAAGAATATAGCATAGATTATGATTTTTGATTTAATGAAGTAACTCTTTGTAAATTAAACATGAAAGCATTGCCTTTATCAGTATGAGTTGAATACTATCAGACATTGACAGAACTGTTTCATATGACATATTAAGCGTATTAAGAAATAATAAGGAGGCAGAAGAAAGTTAGCTGATAAATAAATGAGTTAATTGACGAATATTTCAGGGAATGATGTAAACAAGAAAGCATGCATACCTCTTCAGAACTGTTGTCAGCATGATCATAATTGTATCCTGGCAGTAAATCCGAGAATTCCACTTGATTTGTGACTCGATTGATGATGAATGGCGTATCGTTGCAGGAACAACTATCTAATAACAACAACAATAATGGCAACATCTAAATAATTATTTTTAATTAGACACTGACAGATATGCAAAACTTTCCTTTCCAACTTTATTTGAAAACTTTGTTTGAACAACAAGAGATGAATAGCTATAGCACTAGTGTTTCCAAATTTATGAAATTCCTATTTTAGTTTTTGCATTCTGACATTTCTCATCCCCTCTTACACCTCCACAATTCCTATTTTTGAAAAGCAAAAAAAGTGAACGGATACATGACAAACAAAATATATTTGTAAGAAAAATGAATACATTTCAAGCTGCGTTGGGTTACGATTATTCGTCCGAAATTAATTACATCAAAAACAATGCGGAGTAATAAAACTGCCAATCCCAACGAATACTCGAATCTTCGAGAATTCATGGAATATTCTTGGGATTTTTCCAAGGACAAAATTTTTAAAGCAATTTCAAAAAAAGAAATCTATAATATAATTTAATGCAGTTAATGAAGTTTAAGAGATTCGGGAAAACTAACAATAATTTGGAATGAGAAAAATAATTCCTGAAAAAAGCAAAGGAAATGTATATGCTTTTCCTAAGTCTCGGAATTTAACTTTCTGGAATTGGGCCAGAAGAAGTGATGCTAATGCTGGTTAGAGTTTTGAAAATGGTACGATGAATTTTAACTATCTTAATATAAGACTCAAAAGAATATGAGTTTCAGTGTGATTAAAAAAGTTTTCAAGCCTACCGGCTTACCGACAAAGTTGCTGCCCACCAAGTCTTCTGCATTTCGAAAATTAGATAAAAATTAGACTGTCGTTCCATTGAATCCTCTTACCTTTCACTAGAGCAATGGGACTAACCAAATTAGACTTTGCAGTATGAAATTTACAGTGACCATTGGGTGACCTATCACTTACTTCACATCACCTGTAGTGGACACTGTGGACACATGGTTATGTATAATCGCATCGCACAAATGAAACTTGCAATTAAACAATTTTCAGTCCTTCCTGTGATAACTTTAAAAATTAAATTCCTACTACACTTCATCATTTATTATTTCAGAACGCTCTGTTGGATGTTTCACAACACTTACAATTTTGACTGTAGCAAATGTTGGACATTGTTGAAAATCTATCCAAGTTATTTATATAACTTCTCAGTTAAGAAGCGCTGCTACAAATTCACCCATCCGACTAGTTTTCGTAAAATTCTAAGAGAGATTTTCTTCGAAAAGTAGTGCTCTTCCCAATAAAAAGTATGTTTAATATTTGGAATCGATGGGAGCTGATGGAATCGAATAAAACAATTTCGGATTGGTGTTAAATCATGGATAGCTATGATCATATCATCCTGTACTTCTGATGATCCTTTTATTAGAACAGGAAAATAAGCAAAGGAATGACGAAAAATAAGCGAAAATGAGGCAGCAATAATCGTTAGTTGATTGTTTTTGGGCACTGAAAGTGACTAGCAATACATTGTCCTTTGCTTTGGCCGAGAACATTTCACTGTTCCTTGGCCTCTGCTTAAATATTCATCTGTTTCCAATTGGAATCAATATACTGCGTAAATTAAGTTGTCTTGAAATAATCGAAACAATTGTCTTCATAGCCTATGATGAAAAGGAGACTGAACACTATGCCTTCTATATATGGGTGACACTTTCCTCCTTATCTTCCACTCCTATATTTTTTTGTTATAATCAACCCACAAAGCAAAGGAATTTACAAGCTCCAGAATGAGGAAATTGATTTTTTTTTTTGTCCGGAATAAGTCCATATATCACCTGAACTTGCCTTAATTTTCATACTATCTCCTCCTAGTATACTCTTTCTGTCAATTTCTGATAAAAATGTAATGGGAAGAGTAATGCAGTCTGAGAGCTTTTCTTTTATTAGCTCCTTCTTACAACAATGAAAATTGATTTACTAATATGAGCTTTTTTTTTTAAAATTTGAAAATGGTACTGGACAAAAGTTCAAAATGATAAGCAAAACTTTCTGTACAATCCTAACGAAATTACTGATGTCATGGAATTTTAGAGAAAATGTGTAGGCTACGGATGAAAAATCATTGGCTAAGGCTTTGAAAGAAGAGATTGGAAAGCAATGTGATTTCACTGTTGGTTTGAAAACTGTCCAACGAGTGTTGGAGGTTGGAAGGTCTATTTTAGGCAACGAAAAAGAAAAAGATATTCTGACATTTTTGAGAATAATGTGATTTTTTTCATAAGAAAAGGGATAGTACTTACACAAGTTTTGGAATATAAGATAGACAAAAAATGTCGCAACTTCTTCTAAATTTTGAACTTATCCTTAGCACCAAAAGGCCTATTTAGCGAGTCAAATGTTATCGAATTCTCAAAAACAAGAAACGGGCATACCCAAGGGAAATGTTTTTTCCATGACTTTTTTGTGAATTTTTACTTGATTTGGGACAAGTTTAAAACATGAATAAACAAAAATTGGAAAACATTTTATAGCTATTAATAAGAATGAATGAAATCCCAAAAAGTAATTCTTGTCAGGTTGCAGAAACTGCAAATCGTATTCAAGCTACTGATAAATTAATACAAGTTTTTGAATCAAATGCTATTTCCATTAATTTAATAACGCTTTAATGCATTGAAAACTCCAGCACCAAAGCTGAATCTTTTAAGTTATATTCTAATTCTAGGTATGAAACATATTAGGCTTTCATATATCCTTTAGAGTTCCACAAAACACTGCAAAAAATAAACCGCAATTTATAGTACTGTGAGAATGAAATAATTGATATTAAAATGGAAAAAATTTTAGCAATTTTAAGGTATATGGAATATACCCCAAAAAATTTAAGATATAAATTTTAAGATGTATGAAATGTTTAAAAATAATTTTATGTCATTGAAATATTTTGCCACTGTCAAAATTAAAAGTCAATACGAAATCCACAATGCGTCCGTATAGAAGTAACGACTGTGTGTTAAAACATTAAAAGAATCTTTCTTCATTGTTGATAAAACTATCAAATTTTCTTCTATCAATTGACAAATTCAGAAAATAACTCTAAGTCTGTTTTGATCATTCACTGACAATGACATGATTCATGGAAGTGATCCGTTCCGCAATCATTCGAAAATTCCTTTCTTTGAGAAAAGTTTAAATCAATTTAATTATTTTTGTCTTCTTATTTTTATTGTTTTTATTTTATAATTTAATTATTTTCATCTCCTCATCTTCTTATATTCGTTTTATTAGTTAAAAAGCATATTTCAAAAATCAAGTCTTCCCTCTGAGCAATGAACATCAGCAAGTTATATGAGTGATTCATAAACACAAAATAAAAAGACAAGAACTGATTCACTAATGGACTTTAATGGTAAGTTCTCTCTCTGTAAAAAAGAAACTTTGCCAGGAATGGATGGATTTTCTCTTTTTGAATTGGTGAAATTTAACTTTTAATTATTTTAAGTTCAATTTTGTGAAAGACAGCAAAAAATTCATGCGTATTGAATCACAAATGAAATGTTCTTCACCAGCAATTGTAAAATTAATCATATATTTATATAACTACATGCTTGATCTCTGAGGTTTCTGAATGAACTGCGGTGACTCGATAATTAAGGATATTATTTATTTAAGTGTTGTGCTATTAAAGCACTTTGAAAAACAAATCTCTAATACCCATTAGCTTCCTTCTATCCTACTGGAACTGATGAATAATTTGAAACACTTTTTTCAAAAATTTAAGAATTTATAAAGTGTGAATTGCAATTGTGAATTATTTCTCCACATATCTCAACTGCAAAGCTTTACTAAAAAACAAAGCTTTACTAAAAAACTTTCTAAAAAGCTTTTTGAGCTTTCTAAAAAATGTGTAAAAGTTAGACAGACACCAGAGATTTTCAAATTAATTTCAGGCTGAAAAAAGTTCTGGAACAAAATTGCGCTACTATCAACCACCGTTCATATACTTTGCAGAATTTCGTAGACGTTTTACACCTCCTGTCTTTATCTTTACTTTTAACGAATAAATTTTTTGAATCTTATTAAAGCCATTTTTTTATTTGAAAAGTAATTGCATTTCAAAATTTCTACCAGCACTGTGGAAAAGTTCTGTGATATAAGTCGTACAATACATTATGAATATTTCTACACTACGAATATTTCCCTCATTCGAATTTTAGGATGATATTGTTAGTGATTCATGCTATATTTGTTTAATGCCACTTGCAAACCTAAACTTCTTCGAGGATTGATATCTGTCTGATTAAGAATTGATCATATAAAGAGTAACAATTCATTAAAGATATTGTTTCATTAAGAATCGTTTAATAGTTCTGAAGGATAACATTGAAATAACACTTGAAGCAATTCTCATAGAATTTCTAACTTGTGATGCAAAATTCTTACTGGTAAGAGAGGACAACAATAAATAAGATTTACTCAGTCTTTCAGTCATGGTTTTCGGAACTTCGGCAAATTTTCATGAAGAAATCTTTAAATATTATTGATTTCAATCGAACGATACCGAAAGCAGTGACTTATTTCATTTGTGAACGTTTAACTTAACATGATACATAGTAAGTAACACTTGATAAAAAGCTTTTTGTACCTTAAATTCGCAATTTTATTCCTTTCCTAACCATCATAGTACTTTGGAAACTGTCGGGAAAGCTAATCTGTTGAATTCGTTTCTCAGCGATATAGATTTATTCGGAATGGAATATTATTCTTGCACAATATTACTAGTTAACAACAAAAAGGGTGTAGAGTATATATGTATATATTACACGATAAATTGATAAGCAGTGATGAGTTGTACAAAAGCTAGCAATATGATCAACTGACAAATTCCTTATTGTTGCCTTCGATAATAATTTGCTGTCGATTCGTTGATAGGTCGTTGAGTTGGGGACATGTTACGAGAAATATATTTAGCAAATAGTAAAAATATCATAGTTTGTTGTCCAGTGGTGGCGGATATGTGAAGATGTCGTTGTAGTTCAGTCGCGGAGATTAAACGTAGAGGATGTATACTCTGCTCGATTGTAAAAACGAGTTTGTAAGCTCCATCGAAGTTATCATGGAGGTATGGCTAGCCTTTGGCATTGTCCATTGTGTGGGTACAATGATACCTTTGTGTTTGCAGGCTTTGTGTTAGCTTATATCCTCTTCATTGCGTTAATTTTACTTGCAAGATTTCGTCAACCTGTCGTTGGATATTGTGGCAATTTTATTTGAACATAGCTTTACTTTCGGTAATCAGACAGAAACAAGCTTAACGCTACAAATAAGCTGAATAATTTGTTAAAAGTTGTATTACAGTGTTTGCGAAATGACATAACAATTACAGATTTGCATGCATAAATGGACTGAACGAAGAGTTAAGTAAGGCGCAATAAGATCTCAAAGTGACATCGATGCATTTTTGACAAATTTTGCAAGAAATGTACATATCAAGACTATGCATATCCATATATACAGTATCATTGAGGAGAGAATAGATAAAGTGACGCCGTTTCTTCAACATAATCACTTTCAGCAAACTCTCAACTTATATCTTTAAAAAAAAGTCAAATAAGCGCAAATAATCTTTTGAGGCCACTGGCTGTACAGATCGTTCAAGTTGAGATATCACAGATATCAGTAATTAATTTTAGTGATAACGGTATCAACTGGAATGAGCCTAACTTGAAACTTTAACTGAAATCAACTGGAACTTTTCCATTCCCTAATTTGTGACGAAATGTGCTTCTCAAAAGCATCAACCTTCCCACACATACCACTTCTTCTTGTAAGTCAGGTCAAGACATTAATAACCATAATAATAAGAAATATGCCATCGACATATTTATATATTTAATCAGCCAATTATGTTTGAAGAAAATCTAAATCCCAAACAAACCCATATTTCATCACAACACATCCGCAATATTTGAGTAGAAAAAACAATAAAGGAATGATTCCTAAAATGTGACCAAATAACCAATGATTTGAACAACAGCAAGGTTAGAGGTCATGGGAATCTTTAAGAGGCTTATAAATTATCGTGATATCACTGAAATGATCAATCAGTCATATCCTCAGTCAATCAGTCAAAAATCAATCAATCATATCGAAACAATAGGGAAGAATTTTTGGTTGATATACTCAAGATGTTGGATTGCTTCGTTTTACAATAATGTACGCGCTGACGATGCGGATACTTGGCGCTCTTGTCGTAGTTGACTCTGAAACTGAAGATTATTTCCTTCGAATTATTCTTTTTTTAAAATTATTCATTATTTTAATGAGCTAGTCTGTGCAAACAAATTCACCAGGACAGTGTCTTTCTTGAGTGCAGCATATCTGTCAGAGATAGATCGACTAAATACCGGGGATGCAGAGAAATGGCTCGCTGCCTAAAAGTCATGAAATTAGTCGATAAAGTATACCATTATTCCATGCCCCAGTAACAACTGTTCAATCCGCATGGCTTAGGCAATAATTTACCGATTCCCTTGATTGAGACTTCAAGTGAGGCCTTAGTTGAGACTTCAAGAGGCTTTAGCTGAGGTTTCAAACGAGGTTTTGACTGAGGCTTCAAACTGCAAACGAGCTCCTATTTGGTTGGGGCGCTGTTTATTTCCATACGAGATATTTAATGTTGATTTACACAAAGAAGCATATGCAATCAATGAAGAAATACGTCCCAAAGTTTCTGAAAATTTTCATGCAAAGCATGGATTCACTGAATTGATGAACCGATGAAGTAGTAATTATTTCAAATATCGATGAGAGAGATAAAAAGAGGAGGAGAGACAATCATAGAGACAGGGATTGTCTGCTTGATTTAAAAGTATTGAGCTTCTAATTACTTGGGACATTTTTGAATTTTTCTGTGCCACTGTAATTAGCATAATCAAATTCAGAACCATTTGACAGAAGTATATTCTACAAATTAATGAGGATTAAGGGAAAACCACCCATTGAATATCAGATTTCCCGTGTATCCATCACAAAATCACTTAAATTTGTAGGAAATAATCGTTACTATCCGTAAATCAGCGATAAAAGACGACGAAAATTTAATGTTGAAATATTAACTTGGGAATCAATTAATATTCCATTTACTTCCTCATCTTGCTAATTAGCTCAATGACTCACGGTAGACGGTGGCATAATCGGTTCATCAAGCATACTTCGAGATTCTTCCAGTTTTCTTAGAGCTTTCTGAATGTCATCGTCGTTGTAAATTCCCACAGCAGTAGTCAAATCAAAATCTTCCCTCCCATCATAGTTATTCAAATCATTCGTTGATTTCGCTACTAAAGTAACATTCTTCTTCCTGAAATCTTTAAACTGAAATCAGATTTCGCTTTGATCTCAAATTTGAAATAACAAATCTGTTTCTCCACCTGCCATTGCAAAGAAAAAGTTTAAAAATTTGATTTAGCAAAGTAATGCGAAGAAAGAGAAGAATGAACTCAGGATAATGATGAAAATTTTGATGGTCATCTCTTGTCATTTCGATAGGAACACATATCGGATCCAACATCTTTATTCGGGAAGCCTATAAAGTCTAAGTTATTGCTAAATGAATTTTAATCAGTTATCTGCCTATATCTTTATCACCCATTCTAGTTCGTTTCATTTTAAAATTATGCTTCTTGTTTTAGCAAATACTGCTTCTATCCGAAGTTAACTTACAACTTTACGATATATGACATAAAGAATTAATTGCGCATAAAGTAGTTTTGCACAATTAGCTGCTCATTCCCTTATAATTAACACTAAAACTAAAGCATTATTTCCTCACTTTTCCCTATTAATATTTGAAACTACAGTTTCAAAAAAAAAAAATCTAAAAAAGCGAAAGGAAAATTCCACTACAAAATTGTACCCAAGAAACCCAATAATATGAGATACTGTTCAGATCAGTTTTTTTTCAAATGACATTATCATATTGTATTTTAATTAAAAGTGAAGTGAATACTATAAGCTGACTGTAAAAAAGAATCACCGAAAGTTGCAAATTAAAAAATATTACAGTGAGTAATTCGCCTGGCTCATCACCAGTAGCAAATACCATAACCGCATGAGCATACCGTGGTCGCTCAATGATTAGTTCGGTGGATTCTTCACTCAATTGATCCATCATTGTATCCAGACGTGCTTCGAAAGCACGCAATTCCATATCAGCCATATTGCTGCAGTACAATAAACTGATAAAATCAGAGATGAACTATTTAATCAATTAACGTAGAAACAATAATAGCATTTCAAAGGAAGACAGTAAACTTGAAAAATTTTATTTCCAATTTTACTAAGTTACTAACGAGAGTTATAATAGTAAATTGATATATCTACCAGTTAGAGATCGAAAATTATTTAGCGTTTGGTGCAACGAAAAATTAATATTCTTTATATAATTTCAATTAGTAACACATATCCATCCCATTCATCTGACATTATCCCTTACCACTTAATTAAAAATATTTTCTAATTTCAAATTCATAATATTTCTCAGTAAACAGAAACTTTACACATGTAGAAGCAGTGAAAATTTGGAAAATTTTGACTGGAAAATTTTCAAAACTAATTTATAACTAATCCAAATAGTAGGAATTTTTTGAGATCTTGCAGAAACAGAAATAAAATGAATTACTTAGCAGAAACAGAAATTAAATGAATTGCTTAATTAATAAAAAAAAAGGTCATTGACAGTTCATGCTTTCTTGAATTCTGTTTGATGACAAGAATTTTGAAAGAAATTCAATAGGAAATAATAAAAAATTGTGAAAAATCTGAGCAAAAAAAAAAAAAATGCCACTCTTCTCGATTAATCAATCAAATTAATCGTTGGTTTCATTTCTGTGTAAATTATATTTTCCATTACAATAAAAACGAATTTGTTTTCAGAATTTTTTAGACAATTTACTTTTCAATGAAAAGTGTAAATGTTTCCATACAGCTAAATTATAAATTTAATTAGTCAGAAAATAATCTTTGCACTGTGTCATAAATTTGTTGAATCTCAGTGGAATTAGAATTTAGATGTGGGTCAAATCTGGCTTGTCCAACAGAGAAAATTGCAGTAACTTATAAATCCAGGTATTTTGTAAATGTCCAAGATTGTGATGGGAATAAAATACACGAAAGCATGAACAATTCCGGAAAGAAGGTAATAGCAGTACTCATTCCGAACTTTTTCGTACTGGCAAGAAGGGGAATGATAAATGTCCCCGTCCTTATTAATCATTCAAATTTAGACTTTGTAATTAAAATAGGCAGTAAAAATGCATGAAAACGGATTCATAAGAAGCATTTTTTGTTGAATGAGACTAGAAACTATTAATGAAATTACTGGTGCTATTTCGTTGTCTAAATTCCTAAATATCAGTGATCAAAGTTGACTCATTCAGCTCAAGTAAAAAGTCGCATAACTTCTATGGATTTTTGAAATGATTCACTTTTTTGAATGATATTTTAGAAATAACACTGATAAACACCTGATAAGCTTGAATTCAATAATTTGTAACAATAAGTAGATACAATATAGATTTACATTGTCAACAGATCAATATGTTTTTTGTAAAATATCTAAGAGATGTGGGAAAATGCACAAATTGTCCAAGAAATTTCTCAAAAGTTCGCATTTTAAAGGAGTCTTCAGATTATTCTTATTCATTTTATTCCACAAATCCATAGAATTAATCCCTCAATGTCAAATTAATTTATTACACTGACAGTACTTCTGGTATACTTTATAACTAATGCTTCCTAATTTAAAAAAAGAAAAACTCCATTTCAAGGTTGACATTTTTTGTTGAATTTGTGAATTGGTAATGCATCGAAAGACCATATTTTTCGTGATTCTTTATATTATCATTCAATTCTGATAAAAATTATTTCAAATACCACTTTTTATTTATGTCGGTGATCTTTGGCCCATTTTATTCAACAGATTAAATTTAATCTGGATTTTCTAAGAAAAGGAAAAAAAAGCAAGAAATCGTAACTATGGCCATCGTGCCCTACGACGGTTTCATAAATTTCCATTCGCTTTATTGCTTTTTCATCAAACAATAACCTATACTCAAAATTTTTTTTTCTTACTTATACTCAAAACTGATTAATGTTCAGTCTAAACACTGCTTTTTTGATGTTATTTTTCTGCCTCTAAGATGATTTTACGGTTTTTGCATCTGTATCTGTAAGCAACTTGCACTGACCAAATTAGAAATCTCCAGAATAGCTTACTATGATTTAAGGACAATCGAAAGCTTGATGAAATAAAGATTTGAGAACAAGACCATTTTGTACATCACTGAAAAAATATCAGAAATGGATAGAGGTATTTCAGTACTCGTTTTTTCTTTTGAATTGTTATAATGTAAAGTTAGACTGCAACTGTAATGTCTACAATTTGCGCATGATCTTCCTTCTCTTCACCCATTATAAATTGTCATCATTCTCAAAGACAGCTGGTAAGAATACTTCCTCAAAATAAGAGATTGGTTTTTATCAATTTCAAGAAAAGCAGAAACGAAACAAAAAATTAACGGTATCCAATAACTTTCATTGGTAATTAATTTAGCTGGTTAAAACAAAATTTTTAAAATTTCTTAGATATATATTGGTTTCCAAGTGGCATTAAAAAAACTGATTAGATGGATGAAATAATTTGGTATCTATAATTTGAAGACAGATTGAATGATAATGCGTCTTATCTCGTTCAGCTATCAAATTTTTTGGACTAACAGGTTTCAAAGTATGGAACTCTTTTATGCATTATTATTTAATAATTATAATTGCAAAAAGCCCTCTGATCTACAAATTCAATAAAACGATATTACCAACTAACAATCAAGAGGCGTGATCAAGGGTGGTTAGGAATAAAGAATATACCTGTGCTACGTTAAATCTTATGCTAAGTTATTGATTGTTTACAAAGTATGGTCGTACTGAGAAATCTCAATCTATTGAATGAGATAAGCAAAAGATGTGCAATCGAATAGGATATACTATTTTAGGAATGAAATCAACCCATCTGCAGATTTCCTTATCGTTCAAATATTTTCAATGAAATAAAAAATAAAATTAAGAAAAAAATTTCTTGAGAAAGTTTTCGCGTAGGAAAGAATTGTGCCAATGATTAAAATCATTTCAGAAACTGTATATAAAAGCAATATATTCTGCTGAAAACTGTTTTGTTAGATAATAAATAATTGCAAAAAATTAGGTAAATTCGTTTTTTTTCTCAATTCTTTCAAACACTGAACTGTCAAATCTCTTCGGGAGATAAGTTAATGACCTTACTGTCTAGCATTTTTCAATCAGAATAAGCAATAAAATTACAACAAAAAATTGATCAAGAGCCAAAAGAACCAAAAAAAAATTTTTATCAAAACATACCGTATGTCGGCTTCTTTAAATATTTGAAATAATGTAACATGTACCATATCAATTTTTCAAATCCTTTCAACAACCTGGAATAAAATTTACATTTAATGCTTGTTTTTAAATGTCTAATTAGCGCGTATTGTAAAAGAACAAATTACATTTTTTCGCAAAATAACTTAAATTAATAATTAAATAAATACGAATAAATGAGAAGAAGGAATAGAAGAAATATATAGTCGCAAAATTCATAACGAATATTCGATTCATTAAATCGATCGCCAACTAGTAAATTTAATCAATTTTATTTGAGGGAATTATGAGAAAGAAGAAAAAAACTTTCGGAATCAGAATCAGATGCCATTGACGAATCATTTCTTTTACATTGAACCTGTGTGTTGCTGGTGAGATAAGCAAATTTAGTCTAATATTTCAATAAAAAATGAAATGTACGTGTTAACAAACTGTTGTTTGTTTTTGTCATCCAACTCAACAGGGACTTATCTCGAAGACACAACGAGGTTAACCCTTAAATAATGCTAATGAGTGAAAGAGTTAATGATTGTTGTCTCTCATGTATATAACGTGTTTATTCACTAATGCATCCGTTCATTCAGCTGGAAACAGAAATGAAAATGGCAATTAATTTCCGACAGTTAATTTCCTGTTCCCTTTTTTCTCACCATAATTGATATTTTAATCAAACCTCATATCGACGCTTATATTTGCATTTTATTATTTTAATATTAATATGCAACTGGATGTTAATTACGAAGTTCGTTGCACTCCACAACTTCGAAAGCTATGATATTTCACTTTGTCTTCCATTTTGATTGCGATGAGCAAAATAAGTGATTGTTTGTTCCGTGAAGAAAAAATCACAGCCAAAATTAGGCATAGATTCAAACAGTTGAAATAAGTGCTTCTGATTGCTAAACATTAGAATCCCTAGATAAGATTCTTACAATGAGAGAATGTGGCAACTTGAAGCAAGTAATCGGTTGTAAGGAAGCAATTCTCGAAAATTTAATTCCACAAAACTCCATCTTCCAAAACGAAAAAATTTATCCATATTTTCTAAAAAAAATATAGAAATGCACAATGAAATATCCATTTTCAACTACCGTTGAAAGAATGGAAAGAGCAAAATATTACTTTTGAGTTCAAAACGCCTTTGTGAATAAAATTGAAGACAACAGGTTTTAATGGCATTAAAACTAACGTGCAAAGGAAAATTGTTGAATATTATTGAAGCAAATAATAAACAAAAATTACTTACTTAACTGAAAATGAAATTTTTCAATAAAATAAAAGGGAAGAAAGGAAGAGAAAATTAATGAATTTTTTTAAAACGAAATGTAGACTAGCCTGCTATAAGAAATAAGAGAATCTATACTGTCATTCCTTCTACATTTAGGAGTTACAATTTCTTGCGTAAATTCCTTTGCAACAAAAGCTATTCATAGGGGTAATTTATTTATGCTTCAGTGCACAAGCATGTAAGATCAGGCAACATGGAAGCAACTCCAATTATTCGTAATGAAATCACTCATCGATGTTACTTCGATATTTGAGAAATAATTGGTTGTAAAAAGGGGACATGGAAATGAAATAGAAGTAATGTAGGCTGACAAAAGGACGAAGTACGAAACAGGCAGGGTATGTTGGCCGTAAGCAGTTTTTAAAAGAAGGTAAAATGAAGGACTCAATGAAGTAATAGTTGATTGAAAGCTGAGACACATATATACATATATATATATACACACACACACACGTACACATATACATACATACATACACGCACACACACACATACATAAACATGCATACAAGTAATTTTTTGTTTTTCCACAATAATTCTAGGTGACCTTCTCCACTTCTATTATTTCAGTGGTCCACTCATTTATTTCGCCTATGCCTTCTGTACAATTAATTAATTGATCAGATGTTTTATTATAATTTTCATCTATTTTCTGATAGTTTCAATCATCTTACGTTAGTAAAAATAATAATAATTAAATGTAAAGAATAAATACAATAAATAACAGTAATGGTAGCAATAATAATAATAGTAGTAATAATAATAGTAATAATAATATAATAATAATAATAATATAATAATAACAATAATATGATAATAATAATAATAATAATAATAATAATAATAATAATAATAATAATAATAATAATAATAATAATAATAATAATAATAATAATAATAATAATAATAATAATAATAATAATAATAATAATAATAATAATAATAATAATAATAATAATAATAATAATAATAATAATAATAATAATATATATATATATATATATATATATATATATATATATATATATATATA